ATGTTTCAACACATTATTAAAAACAAATCCTATAAAAAAAAGGTAGAGCATGAATTATTATTATTATTCTAATCAATAACAAGTTATAAGCTATTTTGAGTTACATCTCCATGATATTTTAACTTTGATGGTATAATAAAACATATCATGATAGTTGTAAATAAATATGTTTACGATTGCAAGTGCGGATTGTAACATAAACAACTATTCAGTAAAAATTCAAATGGATTAAAGTCCACAAAGTCGTCAAATGTGGTTTTAGTCGAATTCTACGGTTTCAACGGATGTTTTTGAGGTTTTTGGTTGATTTTGAGATGTTTTTTTCGTTGATTTTGAGAGATTTTTTCAATTTTTTGATTGATATGTATTTTATAATATCCCAAGGCACATCTTAAAGTTTAGTAGGGACACCTTCAATACCTAAAAGACTTCTACTTGCAAAAAATAGGTTGAAAGGGCGTACAAGCCTCTGCTTAGGCCTTTATAGATCTATCCCTGTCTAAACATACAAATACATGACTTAGCAGGGGGGAAAAAAGTAACCAACGCTAAGGTGACGTTTGGTTCGTAGAATGCTTTTGGATGGAATGAAATCTGTTGAAGAGAGTCAATACCAATATGATGTAGATGGGAATGACTTGTATGTGGAATTAAAGTTACTTCAAGATTATTTACCAAATCAAAATATAAGACCTATTGATATTTTGAAGTATTTGAAGAATGTAGAATGTTTCCCTAATGCTATTATTGTTTATAGAGTTTTATTGACTATTCCTGTAACTGTTGCCTTTGTAAAAGGAAGTTTCTCAAAGTTGAAGTCCTATTTACACTCTACAATGACACAAGATAGACTTAACGGACTTGCCTCGATTGTAATTGAAAATGATCTTTTGGATAAAGTTGATTATGAAGATTTCATTGAAGACTTTATTTCGAAGAACGTTAAAAAATGATTTTGTTTAAATTAATTTTACATGTTATTTTGTCATTTTAAACATTATTGTTATTTTATATTCTAAACCTTTTAATATTATGTGAAATTTTATATATTGTACACATTTATTACTTGTTTTAAATGAACTTAGTAATATGTGGTATAGAGACGGCCCTGGCAACTTGCAAGGATATAAATTGTTAGGAATTCTCATGACTCAACGAACCAGAGTTGACTCAACGCCATTGGAGCCATCTTCTACTTACAGAAACCTGCCTGCACTGCGAGTGAGTGTGTGAATGGATAATTCATGCATGCATTCTTCCGATGAAACCATCCATGGCCTGCCTTTGAAGCCCCCATCTTCATCATCAACGTCTTGGAAATACGATGTATTCTTGAGCTACAGGCCGAAAGATACTCTCAGAAACTTTACTGGTCATCTCTACACGGCTCTAGATCATGCTGGAATTCGCACTTTCATGGGTTATCACA